ACTAACTCGAGGATTTTGCCACCCATTTACATTATCTATCCTAATTATACATTTCGTAGGTGTTTGTAGAATGTGTTCATAGACCTGTTAGATCCACTGTAACTTGGGGTTGAGCCAAAACTCCATTGGTCCCCATTCTAACTGGAGAATAATGATGGTATCCGTGTCAGTTCAGACCTTGTATCTAACAGTTCTTGAGGATTCTGGGTATTTTTTTCCAGTGTAGTTACCCTGGCAAATGGCCACAAGTTCTTTTGAGAGCCACTTGCTTCAGTAGTCATTGCATGATTTACAGGCAAAAGAAGACTATTCTCCTCTGACAAGGTGCTGCTTTTGACAGCGAGAAGTTTCAGGTCACTTGTGGGTTAAAGCTGGCTCATATCAGCTTGCAGGAGCCAACTGCATATCTCTTCTTAATTCTGAGTTTGGTGATATTATGTTGGTAACTTAAAATTGACCTGCACCCCACCTCCCAAGAGCCACTTATTTTTTTTCCAGTACCTGACAAGTTCAGGGGAGAATTAGGGGTTCAATATTGTCAGGCTTATCTGCTCAAATGTCCCATTCTACGTCTTAGGTTTCTTTTCCCTTTCAGGAACCAGATGTGAACATAGGAGACAATGGAAGGCTATGTATTTAGTTGCTTTTTCAGCTCTGCTGCCCTTACAATCAGATCCTGGGCCTGATTTTTAGCATAGTTTGGCTATAGGAGATCAGTCTTTAAGGAAAAACTGCCAATAGAGGCCCTCTGGCTTTCTCAGTGTGCCTTAAGGTGACAGTTGGCTGTCCCGAGGTATCATTTTTTTTTTTTTTGCAAGGTATACAGTTCCACTGACAGAATCTATCCCATCCAGAATCCTTAAAATTATTTCCCCATACTGTTCAAGCACCGTGGCTACCACACTTTTATTTCCCCACCTTCTACCGGCACTACATCCCAACTGGACACGGGTGGGAAGCCTTAGTAATTATGATATCACTGTGTGGCCCCACTTACTACCTTCTTACTATGCCAAGGGTCTTTATCACCCTGAGATTAGTGAATAACCCAACTCCAATACCCCATCCTGAGTGTCTACAGGACACTCTTGGTACCAAGTCTTTTGGCTTGGGTTCTCTAGAAAATAGAGCCTGAGTGCAGTTTGAGAGAAACAAGAGTCAAAACAAAAGGGAGTGAGCAGGGAAGGAGGAGAAACTAATATAGTAGTATAATATCAAACTATCCCTTGGTATCAAGCCCAGCTGATTGCTCAGAGCCATGGGCACATGCTAGGCATGGGGACACCCTAGTTAGTAGAACAGATATAGACCTACACTCATGGACAGGCTTACTTTATGGGATTGTGACTCACGCAGTTAGAAGGACTTTGTGCTTGGTTTAATGTTCTCCTGTCACAATCTTGAAAATCTTAATAATTTTTGAACTAGGGGCTCTGCATTTTCATTTTGCTCTGGGCCCTGCAAATTATGTTATTTGGTCCTGCTAATGTAAATTACAGTTTACTGGGAGAATCAATCATATGCTCTCTCCTAAAGAGTGTGAATGGGTGGTATGGAGAGAAGGTCATTGTGGCAAGAGAACAGCATAAAGCAATAAAGAACAACAACATTTGCAGTGGCAGGAAGGAGGAGACCCTGAGTGTAGCAGAAGGGACTCTTTTTGTTGTCTTCTTCACTCCCCTCCCACCAAACTAATTATTTACACTGAATAATTCACGTAAACTGAGCAGGTCTCTGTTTCTTGACTCCTGAAAGATCTAAGAGCACACACATATGGGAGATGATTTAAATCATGGTAATGAAATAGAGCAAGAAGAGAGGAAGGTTGAAGATCTTTTTGGCCATTGCTATCTCACACTATCAGTAAAGAAACTCTCTTTTCTTTTTAATTTCTGATTTTTCATGAATTGATACTTTTGGAAAATAAAAAATTTAAAAGTCTTAGAAAAATGAAAACAAAAAAGGCACATCTCATACAGCTTACTTTTTAGTATTTTTAACAGACATAAATTACATTTCAGAAAACATAATTAAAATAAAAAATAACACAAGATTAAAAAACTACAAAAACTGTATTTTGTTCACTGAAAGTGTACATACAGATGATTAATACAGAGGACTGTTAACATACTCTTAAGTTTGTTAAGATCATTCCAGTCATAACAACTAAACAAAATCTTGGTAATGAAGTAGCAATTTCCATATTAAATACTATAACCAATATTTAGTATTTTAAATTTGTCAATATTTAAAGTTTTTAACATGACAAATGACTGCGTTTTGCTTGTTAAATTATCTAATTTAGATTGGATTGGTGACAAATGTCACTAGCACTAAAGCTAAACTATGTTCTATGTTTTCTTTAACAACACTCACAGTAGAGAAATTGACCTCTCAAAGGTGTGTTTCAGGGAATGGAAGAAGAGATTTAAAAGAAATTTCAGCAAGCTCAGAATATTCATTTTTAATTTTTATCTAAAATAAAGCAAACGATGCCTTATTTTTAAAATTCATTTTCAACTCTTTATCAGTAGTCAGTTCCAAAAATTTCTATTAGGTTATAGTTACATTTAAATTATCCTTCGATGAGAGAAATGGATTCTATATCCATGAATTTCTTATGTGTGGAGTTTATTTTCATGGAAAATAAAAATTCAAAATGTTTCATCAAATTCAAAATTAGTTTCTTAATATTTCATATGTAAATACAATTCTGAGTTAAGTTAGTATAAAAACTTAGGTCTTTAATTCTTTGGAATCACTTCTTTAGTCATTATTTGGTTTACTACTATTATTACTAACCCATTACTGACGTGTCTTTTCTTGACAAAATAGGACAGTGAGGCTTATTTTGTCATCTATAATTTAGGATTAAATAAAAAGAAATGACACATATTTTATTTCCTTAATTTAGCCATGAATTTCAAAAAACAGGCTTGATTAAAATTTAAATTAATAAAAATAACATTACAAAAGTAAATAAATATAAATTTCACAGATTTTCACTCAGTTTTCGGTCACAGTTGACAAACTAACCTTAAAATTTCTTTCCTTATAATGTGGTCCTGTCATTATGCACATGATGAAGACGCAGCCATGCTACCTGTAACTCACCAAACAAGTTGGAGAACCCTTGAACTGTTCTATACTCTTTTAATGAGAGGTGTCCAACAATCAGGTGCTTGGATATTGATGAAATATCAAAATAAATGCTGCTAAGCATTTATTCTTAAGTTCTGTACTTATCTCTTTGTGGATCTGTACTTATCTCTTTGTGGATCAAACACAAGCAGTTTGCAAACTGGCAGTGGTCCAAAGACCACTTTGAGTAGTACTGCTCTACGAAACCTGAATTGTAGAGACTGAAAGAACTAATGCAGGAATTGATGAAGCAACAGAAGGGACGAGGAGAACAAGGAGACCAAGAATTTTTGAAATACTAGGGAGGTTTTGAGAAAGAGGAAGCGGATAACTGTGTTAATTGCCAGAAAAGTTAAGTGAGGACCGAAAAGAAGCAATGAATCGACAATTCGGACACTGGTGATCTTTGAAAGAGTGATTTCAGTGGAGTGCTGGTGGTGGTAGTAGAAGAGAGCCAGGTGCTAGGAAGCTGAGGTGAAGTAGAGAAAACGAATGGGGACTACCTTTTCAAGAAGCTAGATGGTAAAGAAATGTAAATAGTGTGGTACCTTGTGGTGAAAAAAGTTAAAGGACTAGAGGATACCAAAAAAAAAAGAGAAAAGGAAAAATCTGGTATCACTGAAAGGGCCTCAAGCTGAAAAAGTTCTATCTCCAGATAGAAAATCTAAGAAAGATTTTATTTGTTCTTAATGGCAATCTTAAGACTACTATGGAGGTGGAGGAAGATCAGGGGAAGAAGCTTCTTTTAAAAATCTGCAGAAGTTCTAATACTTCTTTGGTAGTGCAACAGAAAGCTGTGTGGGGATGCAAGGATTTTAACTGACTCGACTGTTCCTAAGTTGTATGTAAGAATTTTAAATGTAGTAGGGCACAGTTAAATTAATCCATGGTAAAGA